AAGTCCAAAAACATCTTAGGGTAATGTTCCTAGTCCAATTCCAGCCAAAACAATCGAATATATGCATCCAACTCGATTTTTCAGCTACTTTTGCAAGTATAACAAGAAAACAAGCCTAGGCTCTGATACCACTGTTGGGTTACACTCCTAAGTGTACATGCAACCCTAAATACCTTGGATCTATGTTTTCTCTATTATACATACAATTATGAACATCCAAGGTATTATCCTAATCTAGCATACAAAATAATAAATATAACAAGATAGAATACATACCTCTTTGATGTAGAATGTCTTCATGAAGCTTGAGTGCCTAGTGCCCCAAGTGTGACACCTCAAATGGTTCACACAACACCAAATACACTTGGAATAACTTGAGAGAAACTTGAACACTCCTTGAAATCGTCTAGCCCTCACACTCACACATTAGTGCACGATTTCTTGAGCCATGGGATTCTTTTATATGGTGGCTATTAGGGTTACACCATGTAACTCATAACTTTACCCATTCCTTATGCTCCATGGATTTTAACCTCCATGGAGTATCCATGGGTCACCCCATGGACTTAGTCCAACATAAGGAATCTTGGATCACAAGCCCACATATATAAGAATGAATGATTTACACAATCAACCCATATATTTAATTAGTCTCCTTTTGATCACTTAATTAATTCCAAATTAATTCTTGATCAATACTAATTAAATAACCTTATTAATATATTAGAACTTATAATATATTAACCAACCTTAAGTGTTATTTCTCTCATTATAGTCTATCCAAATGCATGATGCCATGCAACCCAAATGGACCATGCCGGGTCGGGTCAAGTCTTACCAATTATAGTTATGGACTTAGACATTAATCCAACAACAACTGGTATTGAATTGTTAGGGACCAAATGTTCCTGTTTATTTGTTTGTAATTGAGTGATTTGTGTCTATTTTGAGTTCAATGTTTTTGTCTTTTGATGTCTAGCATGTAACGTTTGTTGTTAAGTGTTTAAATTTAATGAATCATGTTGTTTTTGGTAATTTGCAATTTTGCATTTTGTTAATTGTTTACAATATGTTGTTGATGGCTCTTGGTCATTAAGTGCATATTTTATACCTTCATGGTGTAAATGTCCATATCTTGATGCGATTATTTTTATAAATATACATGTAAGTTCTTTTATCAGAGACCACTTTCAAATTTCATCCCATAGTCCATATTTAATATAAACTATACCACATATGCAGACCTTAAAAAAAGTTTTATCAGTTTTTCTGCAATTCTGCATTCTGTTGACTTGTTGGTAATATGCATTGATATTGAATACAAATCAAATATTTATATTGAATCCGATTTTGAATTTGAAATCAGGTACATTGTACCCGAATGTATGGTATACCGTACTAGGGACCTATATGAATGTTGTCCTCTAAGTCTTCTATGTCATCATCCCTGTAATAACTCAAAAGTCACAACAAATTTAAACTTTTAAAAACAACCCATAATCATAAAATGTTTACAAATCATTGTTTCAAATTTTTTTATCCATATCAGAGTATCCCAAAATCATAAAGCCATAAACAGAGGATGTGTACGGTCACGCCTTCACATTCCTGCCATCATCAGAAGTACCTGAAACAATAAACTAAAATCCATAAGCCAAAGCTTAGTGAGTTTCCCCTAAAGTACCACCACATGAACATAACAACAAACAACATGCATAACTGAGCCTTCAGCCTAACTGGACCGCCTCGTAGGGCCTACAGCCTATATGGACCGCTCTCGAGCCTTCGACATGACTAGACCGCCTTGTAGGGCCAATAGCCTATCCAGACCGCTCGTCGGGCCTTCGGCCTGACTGAGCCGTCTCGCAAGGCCTACAATTTATCCAGACCACCCCGAGTATCTTGAACTTCAACACAAAGTAGGACCACCTCAACCCAACCAGCCATAACATGTCGACATATACATAACATATAAACATATAACCAGTCAACAAAAAACAGGTACGTAGATATACAGATCACTACCGAATGTTAATATCCTATATACTAGGATACCGATCAAACAGATCTATTGCATACTATCATATAACAGGATATCCAATCCAATTGGTTGGCCTTGGTGACTTCGACCCATACGTACAGTGAGGAAGACTCACCTCATAGCTTGACGAAAACTGATCAATATTCTGATCCCGAATACCAGCTCCACCTAAGTCCTAAATATCCAAACATTTCTCATTAATAAAATAACCACAATTTCCAAAATTATCCATGGTCAGAACTAACAAGTCAACTAAGTCAACCCAGCCGAGTCAACTCATCCGAGTCGACATAGAACGCGTACACGGGGCGTACTCAAATCTTGACCGCAGACGAGAGGGTTGACCGCGTACGCGCTGCGTACTCCAGGTTATGCAGGGCGTACGCCCAGACTTCTCAAAACTTCATTAAGAGCTTAATGTCTTAAGCTCTTACGTCTAACTTTCAGATCCAAGGCTAAATTATCGTCAAGAGTCATAAAGCTTCCAACTTTATGACTTTGCATGTCCATTAAGTGGTCAATATCCCAAAGTACAACATCTTAATGCATTAAGACCCTCTAAAGAATGCATGGAGCAACACTAACCATCAAAACCATATTTTTATGACTCAAGACCCTCCCTAAGGTCTGAAAGGATGACTTATTAGGTCAAGAACATGTCATGCTTAAGAATTACCATTTTGGGACAAAAAGTAACTTAATGGAATGAAATGTCTAGATCTACAAGATGGATTGATAAAGTTACAAGCTTTATACCTTTTGGAGGTTGCAAACAAGAAGGGAATCTCAGATCCAAAATGCTTCCAAGCTCCAAGTTCTTCTCACCACCTTCTTCCAACATACCTCCAAAACACTCTTATGGGCTTAAAATGGACTTTTCTCACTTAGGGTTTCTTGAAGATGTTTTTCACAGAAGGGGGCTACTGAGGATATGAAGCATAAAGTTATAATGGTGTTTATATGTGGCAAAAACCCTAAAAATTAGGGTTTGGACATCCTGCGCATACGCCCTGCATACGAGATGTATGCCCAGCATACTAGGGTTTGTCCTAGTACGTTGGGTGTACAATGCTCAACGTACACATTGTACACCCAACGTACAAACCTCCTGCCCAAAATTACTACAATGCCACTATGGGCCAATCTTGAAATCTTTTCAACTTCGGGGGGGGGGGGGGGTCACGATGCAGTATTATTAAAATATAAGGTCAAATTTAGAAGTACCTCATCATTGGAATGTTACAATCCCCTATATTTCCAACATCATTCATAAAGTTCACAACTGGAGTGTCACTTGTATCATTAAAATTGTCCCCAATATTGCTTATTGACATACTACTACATTCTGTTTTGGGCTCATCAAATCCAAAGTCACTATTTGTCTTACATATATCATCATTAGGTAAAGGAAATGGTACTTCAAAATTACGGAAGAGATCTACGTAACCAGTGTTTGTTGGTGGTATTATTTGTTTTACGTCGACACAAATTTCGCCACAATAATTTTCATCATTCTCAACTAAATAATACATCATGTCTAAGGATGAATCATTTAAGAGGGTGCCATATTTGATCTCCTACAATATTGGTAACATAGTGACAAATTCAATTATAGGCAGATTTTTCAACTCCAACATGTGTATAAATCAAATCTTTAAATTGTTCATATTGTATTTTGTGCCTAAGAAGAATGTATGATGCAGACAAAGTTGCTTGATCATAAAGGGGCAGTTTAGCGCCATAACAAAAAATATAAGAGAATTTAACTGCAAATCATGCAAATCATAGGACAAATGACACAAATTAATATTTTAAATTTAATGTTGACATCATTTATATATGCGATTTATATAGAAATAAATACATTCTTATGTTTGAGATAGAAAACAAAAACTAATAATACAAAGATGAAAGAAGTATAAAAACCAAGGATGTAAACACGAGGAGAGAAGAATATGAAGGATTGATGAGAAAAACTTAATTCGGTAACCGAAATTTATAGGATAAAAAAGTGAAATGTATTTGATTATAAAGAATTCACATGACATTTCATTCACAATAGAGTATGAGATGTACAATGATATTTTTTGGATTCTTCAATCCTTTTGAAATTGTTTTATAGACATTATTATTGGTTGGACAATTCTTATATAAAATTTGTACATTTATTTATTTTATGTCTACTTCTAATAATATCCATATAATATTTTAATATATATAATTTTAATAATGTTTAATATTGGTATTAACTGGAGTTGCAAGAAAATTTTTAAGTGATAAAAATTATTAAGGTCTACGTTATAAAATTCAATAACATATTTATAATAAAAAATATTATATATAAAATTGATGAAGGTAGAAAATAGAAATAGAAAATATAAAAGAAAAATATATAATTAAGAATGGTAATGATATAAAACTAAAGAACCCTTTATGTAATTACAACTCCATACACGTGTATGGATAAAGTGGGGCTAGAACCCCTTTTTACAAGTCAATTTGAAGCAACCTTATTTTTAGGAACAAATTTGAAAAGGAATTTTGGAAGTGTTCGCTTCTCACTTCTATACACAATCATATAATATGTAGGCGTATCTTCTCTTGGTGCTTATGGGCTTCTGTGTGCTATTATCATTTGTTAAGTTCTATAAATTAATCTAGTTTGTAGCTAATGCAAGGCCTGTAAGCTTGAGTTACTACTTTTTGTTGCCCATTTCTTTGGATCCTTCTCCTTGTCTTTATCTTTGTGCGAGCATTCAAGCTGACAAAAACTACAATGACCACTATGATATACAATTTCTTTGGAAGCATCGAAACTAATGTAGAAATTTGAGTAAATTTAACTTTTGGTCCTTGTGCTAATTTGGATAATGTCCAAAAAGAAATAGTTTTTTTTTTCATTTTTTCTCCCCGTTTTACTATTTCATAACACTTTTAGTCCATGAGATAGATGCCAGAATTCTGGAAGGATTTCTTGTATGTTCATAGCGAGGTTAAAGACTCATACATATACAAGCCATAATAGAGAACAAAGATACAACAACCTTTACTACTCCAAAACCCTTTACTATAAATAACTATATATATTTCTAAGTGGCACTAAACCCATGTAAAATGACCATTAATTCTCTAAACTTCCCACAGACTAAGTATCTTTTTCCTGTATCCAGTCAATGAAGTTGCCGAAGTTCTTATCAGAGTGGCCACCTTTGCTTACAGCAACTGCAACCTTTTCTTTAAGATCAATCGCCCTAACCTTGAATTCATCATTTCCTAGTAGCTGCTCGATCTTATTCTTGATTTCTTCTCTTGAAACAATACCACTTTTATCTTTATCAAACACCAATCCAGTCTTCCAAACATCAGAAATGTACATCCGATTCGCAAACTGATCAGAAAAGTAAGGCCAACACATAAATGGTAAACCACTACTAACACCTTCCAACACAGAGTTCCAACCACAATGGCTCACAAAGCAACCAACAGAAGGATGATTCAAAACCTTCTGCTGTGGGGCCCACCCCACTATTCTCCCACGACTCTTTATTCTATCATTGTATCCGTCATTTTTCATATCTTTAACCATGTCAGACCGCACAACCCACAGGAAAGGCATATTCGTCATTTCCAGTCCATGTGCCAGCTCATCAAATTGGGTAAGGTCAAAAAGTGTGAAGCTTCCAAATGCAACATAGATGACTGAACGTGCTGGCTGTTGGTCAAGCCATGCCAGGCACGTTGAGTCCTCTTTCCAAAAGTGGCCAATCTGATTGGCCACTCTATTGCTTGCCAGTAGTGGACCTACTGGCAATATCTCAGGATATGAAGTAAATGTTCCTTTCTCCAATTCATAAGTTGAATTGCAAATTGTGAAGTCTGCCAGTGTCACAAACTCACTGGCTTTTACCATCAAATTAAAAAGTGTTTCTTGTGTCTTTAAGTCGCCAATTCCCAGCCATGTAAACTCTAAAGAGCTTATACCAGGCATGGTTGGTGATAGTTGAACCATTTTCTTCTTCAAGGGAGTCCCTGCAATTGAAATTTTACTTCATATCATTTCTTGAATTTATGTATACATATAATATATATCATGGCTTTTAAGCATAAAAAGTATTTAGTGTTATGTATCTATATGGAAACATATTAGGCTAAATGAAGCTAACCCTTGTTATCTATGATTCCATCTTCAAGCAACTTAGGGATGCAAAATAGTGAGGCCAAGGTTATAGCTGCTGCAGGCCAGAAGGCTGCTTTTCTTATTTTCATCTTCTCACCGACTTCAAACACCCAACCCATACAAATATCAGCAACAATACATGTAACTTTCTCAAAATCATCTCTTTTTTCATTAAGTTCTTTGATCATCTCTTCAAGCTTTTTCAGGCATGACTCTAAAGATTGCATCTGGTAGCTTACCAAAATCGTTTCTATCCTCTCCTGTTTCCAATCCATCTGGTAGTGACACAAGACTTGCTAAATCATTCAACTTCTCATCTTCAGAGAACGCATCTGTAACCAATTTGTGAGTGAAATTCGTGTTAACAAATGTAACTTTGACACCATATTTTACTAATCGTTGCATAAGCTCCATCATGGGGATTACATGACCTTGTGCTGGATAAGGTACAAGTATTGCACGTGGCTTTCTCATCTCTATTTTTTTTTTTATCTGTACACATTACTGTCTACCGTTGTTTTTATAGGTAAGTTCTTGAACCTCAAGTTTGTAGTGCCCAACTCCTTTTATATTTTTATAGCCGGCCTACTTTGTTTGTATCATCTTGGTGCTTTTCTCTTGTGTCATATTTATCTAAGCTCCTTGTCCTTAGTGTTATATTCATATAGTAGGCCTACCATGTTTGAATTATAATTTATACATTTGTCTTATTTTCTTGTCTCTATCTCTTGTATTAATGATGCTTTTTGTGAGGTTAGTACTACATAGTACATGAGTTGCTTGCTTCATATTTCGTATTACATAGCTCAAAACCAAGAGGTTGGGTTGTTTATGTGAATTAATATCAATATAAAGAGAACTAATAATAATATAGAGAGAAAACAACTAAGATTACATTGTTGATGGAAAACGGCTAGAGTTACATTGTAGATAAACTCTTAAATACAAAGAAAGACAAATAAGACTATAAATAGCAAAGTTATCTATGGTTAACCTAACTAATGAGCTAAACATAAGGCCTAATACAAAAAGAGCCCAAATAACTTATTATGTTAACACCAAAAACACGACGCGAAATACGAATACCAACAATAATCGAAACCCTAAAAAAATGACAAAATCAATCAAATAAAACAAAATGAAATACAGAAACGGATTAGAAAATCGTACCCAAGATCGCAGCAAGATTCACAAATTTCGCATCGAAAATATCGATCAAAAGGTATTTTCGTGGTGCGATACGACATATCGCGGCGTGAAATCGACGAAAAACAAACAAATCAAATAGAAAGTGACAAACTAACAAAAACTATACTCTTAAAGCGACAAATTCGAACAAATCAAACCAAAAGAAATACAAACACAAATCAGAAAAACATACACGACTCCGATACCATGTGAACTAATAACAATATAAAGGGAACTAATAATTATATAGAGAGAAAACGGATAGAGTTACATTGTTGATGGAAAACACCTAGGGTTACATTGTAGATGGAAAAATCTCCCTATCTAATAAACAAAACCATATGTCCACGTGTCCCTTCAAAACATCAGAATTCTGCAAAAGTTAAATACCCATTATACCCCTACTTGGTTTCACATCGAATACAATTCGATATCAAATCCATATAACGCCCTGTTTTGTTTCAATTTTGTTTCCATTTTTATTGGTGATAACAGCTATAGTCATTAACTTAAATTCTGCACATACCCGATTAATAGAATGTTATTATGGAATCCGATTTCTTATATAGGGTATGATATCAATCAATCGATTACATTTAATTGAAATTATTATGTCAATTATTATGTCGATTTTATCATAATCTGCTCAATATATACTTGAAATATATGATATCAACGTTCCTTTACAGCATCGTGTTTCCAAGGTTTTGCATCATCGACAATTCAGTTTTCGGATATTCAATCACAGAGTTCAATCCTTTTCGTAAGTTTCTGCTTCTCAATGTGTATATGTATTTGTTTTCTCCAACTAAATTGTATTATGTAAGTCCCTGTTTCCCACTCATGGACAGAACATGACGAATTTGAGTTAGCGTATTGAACTTTGACTGGAATGAATACAATTAAAACAATAATTGTTGTCCCTTCCCAATGTTCTCGCATGTTACTGCTGCTATTTATGTTGTTTAACCTATGATTGTTCTGTCTGTAAATGTTTACGGTGGTTGATCGGTCATTGCTTCTATTTTTCATGTTATAAGTATGTTCAAAGGACGAAAATGCCCTCGCCAATATATATGTGCAATAAAATTCGAAAAAAAATACATATTAAGGCAGTGTACTTTTCTTTTTCATGTTATAAGTATGTTTAAAGGACGAAAATGCTCTCGCCAATATACATATGCAATAACAGAAGGAAACAAAAAAGTTTTTAAACAGTACAGTACAAAAAAATGGTATGTGGAAAGGACGAAAATGCCCTCACCAACCTTATAGAATATAACTTTATAAACCTTGTGTCGTATCATGTAGTTCCATGGGATATGTGTGTCTATTGATGGTGTAAGAGAAACAAACAAATATATATTTAAAGAGTTTTATTACCAATACTACGTGTAAGACCCGTGTATTACACGGGTTTGTTAAAAAAAATTAATATAAAAATTTGAACACCAACCAATTATTAAAGTAATACAATACTTATAAGTAACAACTTTATTGTGTAAGTATATAATTGAACCCCGATTACAAAAAAAATCATATGTAATTGAAGCTAATAATTCATTGTGTAAGTATAAAATTTTGAACACCGACCAATTATTAACGTAATACAATACTTATAATGATACATCAACCGAAATACCTTTTTCTATTTTACTGCACATATATTTAATACATGGGATCAATTTCTTTTCACCGTCCCTACCTGAACATGTCAGGTTTGATATTATTCAAAATAACCATATTGCCTTTTTTTCCATATTATAACACAAAAACTTCAAAACAACAAACCGATTCCTTTTCTCCCCTGCATGTCACCAGAAACAAACTAATCCACACTAACTTGGAATATATATTAAAATTGAAATAAAAAGGAGTATATTTTTGTTACACCAAATCGTTAATACATCAAAACCCATAAAAGGACCGAAATACCCTTTTATAATTTGATTGCACCAATCCATGAGAAGATCATGATAAGCAAATAATTCAATGATTGAAAATAATAATTAAACCCATATACTCTACTATCTTTATCCAACATGATAGTAATTGACCCGATCCACTCATACATTAAAAAATGCAACAGAAGCATATATGGAAAAAATGAAGTAGGGTGGTGTTGTACAGATGCAACAGACCAATAAGAAAGTGAGATGCGATTATTTGTAATAAAATGAAATTCCTAACATGTACAGAGAAAAAAAAAACATAAATAATCCTATAAAGGTTTGTGAATTTTTGGTGTAATTGGGACAATACACACATGATAACAGGAAATAGGAATGCAATTGAAATTGTTGAGGTAATACTTTCCATTTAACAATTAGACAGACAATTTAACTGCTTATTTACACACACATCACCTTCTTTAATGACTTGGATTTTAATTAACATTGCATTTTTTATAATAAAGGAGCATGGGAGAAACCAGTTTACCCCTTTAACAATTATACAGACAATGGACACTTTAAATAGAACCAAAAACATTGGTTAATTTTTCCTAAGATGTGGTGCTATTGACATCACATATGTAACATTGGAACGTCTTGTGTCACAGATCACTACCCTTTCTATAACAATACAGATCCAAGTGGTGAAGTCCCCATGAAAAACGATATTTTCAATGAATAATTGATTTTGTAGTCTTCTTAACTTTTCATTTTAATATTATTCCACTGTCAAATTCACATATCATACCTTACTCCTCGCGAATCCATTTGGTTATTGCTTTAAAAACATATGTTTATTAAAAAACAAATATATGTGTTTCGTATCATGTAGTTCCATGGGATATGTGTGTCTATTGATGGTGTAAGAGAAAAAAAACAAATATATATTTAAAGAGTTTTATTACCAATATATATATGTAATAAAATTCGAAAAAATTACCAATTAAGGCATTGTACTTTTCTTTTTCATGTTATAAGTATGTTCAAATGACGAAAATGCCCTCGCCAATATAAATTGCGTACATGTGATGGAGGTGCAGTTGCTTATGTTGGCAAGGAGAGGATTAAAAGAAGGGGGTGAAGATTCGAGAGGGTGATTAAAAAAAAATCCTTCTGCGGGGATTATTATTATTATTATTATTATTATTCAAATGATTTTATAAGTAATATATTTCTACATTAATTATCAATGTTAAATTATATGTATTTCTTAATCGTATATATTAAAATATAAAGTTTTATTTGATATATATATTTTTAATTACAAACTTAACTCTTATTAATAATATAAATTTGTTTTTAAATTTTTTACCCGTGGTTTCCACGGGTTGTAACCTAATGTGTAATACAAAGAAAGACAAATAAGACTATAAATAAGAAAGTTATCTAGGGTTAACCTAGTTAACGGGCTAAACATAAGGCCTAATAGAAAAAGAGTCCAAATAACTTATTATGCTAGCAATTTAATTAATGAGATCAACACGTTTAATTATATGTAAGCTTTAATCAAGTTTTTTTTCCCATCTAGTACCTAGTTAGTTCAAAACATATAACGTTCACTTCTGATTATATATATATATATATATATATATATAATATATATATATATATAGAGAAAAGTTCAATAGACAACCATAATTATTGGTTCTCCAAGGAAACAAATCTTTTTTTTTTTAAGTTCTAGAACTTATTCTTTATCGAAAAAAAAACTAAAAATATCTAAATTCATAACTTAACATTGTGAATGTTAAATATATTTTTTGGATTCACCGTGTGAATTTAGATTCACATTGTGAATTTGACGAAAAAAAAATAAATTTTATTTTATCGAATTTGATATCATTGGAAAAATGATAAAAAGTTATGAATTCCTGTATTTTTAGTTTTTTTTTGATAAAAAATAAGTTCTAAAAGTTGGAAAAAAGATTGGTTCATTGGTTAATTATGGTTCTCTATTGAACCTCCCATATATATATATATATATATATATATATATATATATATATATATATAATATATATATATATAGAGGGTTAGGTTATTTTGTTCTAACATATTGTGTGCATTTAAAATTGATTCTGGACCAATCATTTTAGTTATTTTACGAAAGTAATTAATGCTTATTGAATGTTAAAGATATAATAAGCATTAATTAAACTTTCAGCATTTAATATGCATTAATTACTTTTATAAAATAACTAAAATGATTGGTCCAGAATCAATCCTACAAGCACACAACAGATAGTAAAAAACATTTGAATCTCTCTCTCTCTCTATATATATATAATATATATATATATCTATATACTATATATATACTATATAAAAGCTTCTTTTAAGTTTGTTCCGCCAAATGTACCGAAAATCGGATTACAACTACCAACTAGAATTACCTCTCGTTAGGACGATTTCATCCCCCAAAATCATAATATCAAGGAACAAGTATTTTATCTAATCTTTGTTTCCCACAAAAAAAAGTTGTCAAATAAAATATGGGTCTAATTCTCTATATTTCTACAAAAGTGGATAATTTATTCGCAAGAAATACTTTATAGTTAGTCTAATCGATCGCTCATTTTAATATTACTATTTGATTCTCTAAATTCACATAATACTCTTGACGGTTTGAATCAACATTCTTTGTTCGTACATGGTTTCCCTATATTTATAGGTCGTTGATTGTACCAACCTCTCTTATGAGTGAAGCAATTGTCACATTAGGGCAATAAGCCAAAAACACCTTTTACTTTTATATATTTAATCTTGCCTACTTACAACGCCGAGCACCCGTGAATGGTGAATGGTGTGTACTTCTTAGATAACGAAATGCTCATATTTACATGTCTTCAAAAGACCCAACACTACACCACAAACTAATTTTCACATGCATCCTACGGTGGCTTCACGTCTCAACTCTTGGTTATATCATTATAAAGCCAAAGAGTTTGTCCTTGAAATCACATAGTATATACGCAATTTATCTTACACCTAATTCCTCCCTAAATTCAGGAAACAAATCCTAAAGAATCTTCAAAATAGTCCAAAACACCTGGTACAAATCCTTAAGTCATAATGTGATGTTCATGTTCATGTGACTAGGGTTTAGGCACAAGCTCCTTAGGGTTTAACCAATAGGGTTTAAGTATTCTATATATATTTCTAAGTAATTATCATTTGAATAATCAAACAATCTGAGCCAATATCTTTTATCAATGTACTTTAGTATTCAAGACATACATATTTGGTACTCAAGTACTTCTCTCAATTGTTTCTCGTGATCTCCCTCAAGCTTGACTATATCTATGTCTATATCTTTTTATATCTATATCACTATTTTTATTTATATTTATATTTATATCCATTTAGGTTATCCAAATAATATGGTTCTAAGATAGTTTTCATTCATGCACCATATTAATCTGAAAAACCCAAACATTTCAACTTATCTATTAATGACACTACAAGAAAAGTCTATTTTAGTGACCAGTTTTTAGTGACGACCTAAAATGTGGTCACTAATAACATCATTTAGTCACCATATATTTAGTCGTCACTAAATTTTTGGTAATACTACAAATTTAATGACCACTATCATGATGGTCGTCACTCACCCGTCACTAAAGTGTAGAATAAAGTTTAAGTAATTATGTTATAGCAAGTATTAGTGACCAAAAATAGTGGTCACTATATTGGAGACTTAGTGACGAAAAATAATGGTCACTGGATTGGAGGGTTAATGATGAAAAATAGTAGCACTAGAGACTTAGTGACCATAAATAGTGGTCACTGAATTGGCAACTCAGTGAGCAAAAATAGCGGTCACTGGATTAAAAACTTAGTGACCAAACATAGTGGTCACTAGCTATTTATATATTTAAGAGCTGAAAAATAGTAACCAGTAATTGAATATACAATTGAAAATTGCAAAAAGGTTAGGACCGTATAATAATGATCACCGAACAAATTTTATTATAAATTTAAAAACAAAATAAGAATTATAAACTCATATTATGTAAATGACCACGGTGATGGTTTATTCGATGGAAGTGCATCGTGGTAATTTCACATTAAATATACAATGTTAAATAGCATGGTGTTATTACATACATGTCTGTTAATTTCCTTTTAGTGATTTTTACCCAAATAATGTTAGGGTAATTTCGTAATTTGGTATAAAGGGGTTTGGAGTAATAACAATCCTAGTAAGGGTCTTAGTGGAAATGCTTAAAAGATGAAGGGGTGACTCAGTAGGATAAGTTGAGGGTTAGATACTAATAAAATAAAGCAAAATGTGGTTATCATCTCCATTACGTATTACGCTATGCAGACCTCCCCTCGCTTTCCTCTATTCACAATCTGCTCGAAAACACCGCCCATCGTTACCTCGCCTTCCGTCTTCCGTCGGCGCTGCTACCGCATCGAATCACCACTTTCTCCTTCGTTCACTACATTACCGTGCTCCAAAGTTTGAAGCCCTAGTTTTCCCAATTGAAGCTTCGATTAGGTAATCACTTCCCCAAAATTTGATTAAGGTGTGATTAGGGCTCGAAAAACCTCAATTGGAGCTTAATTCCTCGCATTTGATTCTGTTTTCATCATTACT